ATAGGTATAGGTATAGGTATAGGTATAGGTATAGGTATAGGTATAGGTATATATCCGCATCAGGGGTGGGTTCCTGCCAGTTCTAACCTCTTCTATAGAAGAGGTTCCACAAATCTAGAGTGCCATTTAGAACCGGTTCCAGCTCCCTCCCCCCGTCCGTCCGCACATCATCAAGATGAAGAGCGAGAGGAGGAATTCTGGGAGTTGAAGTCCACAAGTCTTAAAGCTGTCAAGTTACAAGACCCTTGAACCTCTAACCCTTTAGAAAGAAAAACCCCAGTGGTGTTCAAACTTGACAGCTTTAAGACTTGTGGACTTCAACTCCCAGAATTCCTCCTCTCGCTCTTCATCTTGATGATGTGCGGACGGACGGGGGGAGGGAGCTGGAACCGGTTCTAAATGCAATGTAGATTTGTGGAACCTCTTCTATAGAAGAGGTTAGAACTGGCAGGAACCCACCCCTGGGGCTACAGTACATCAGCAAATATCTGCAGATCCAGTTCTACAGAGGAATGACTGAGTCTGTCATTTGTACCTCAGTAACTGTCTGATTTGGTACAGCAACCAAACAAGACAGACACAGACTGCCTAACACAGTGATGGTGAATGATAGTGTGCATGTGCGTGCCCACACCCATAATGCAAGGCCCCCCCCCGGGCACATGCACGTACAACCCCCTCCCTGTGCTCCTCTCCGCACATGTATGCAGGCCCCACTTTCGGTAGGCCCGTTGGGCTGTTTTTCACCCTCCCCAGACTTCAGGAAAGCCTCCAGAGCCTGTGGGTGGTGAAAAACGGGCCTAATAAGCCTACCGGAAGTTCATTTCCAAACTTCCTCTAGGCCTGTTGAGTCCATTTTTTGCCATCCACAGGCTCCCGAGACTTTCCTGAAGCCTAGGGAGGGCGAAATGGCCTCCCCAACCCTCCGTAAGGCCAAAAATCAGCTGGCTAGTGCGCTGGAGCTGGCATAAGGCAGCCCTTCGCGTGCCTTCAGATATGGCTCCCCGTGCCACCTATGGTACATGTGCCATAGGTTCACCATCAAGGGCCTAACAGATAGATAGAACTGCAGAAAAAAATAATTGCAACCAGCCTGCCTTCCATTGAGGACTTGTATATTCCATGAGCCAGAAAGAGGGCTGAGAAAATATCTACAGATACCTCACATCCAGGACATAAACTGTTTAAACAACTAGACACAAAGACAGTTTTCCCCCATGCCATCACTCTGCTAAACAATTAATTCCCACAATACTGTCTTAGGCCTAAAGATATTTACCTATATAATAGGTTGTACTGTTATTACCCTTCTCATCTTTTTCATCTTCTCATTTGTCATCTTCTCATTTTTCCTACTATCTTCTCCTATTGGTATCTTATGATTTATCAGTTGTTGTTTGCATCTTTTTATTAATGATTGTAACTATGATTTATGATATTATGACCTTCTGGACTAGAAGACCTCAAAGATCCCTTCCAACTCTATTCCGATTGACCTATCACTTTGTTGTTTGTATGTACATTAACAGCTTATGCACCCGAGACAAATTCCTTGTGTCTGCAATCATACTTGGCCAACAAAGAATGCCATTCTATATACTTGTGGTTTTACACGTTAATTGACTGCCACGATGCAGGACAATTATATTGTTGTCCTTTGAATAGATTTCCTCAACTTTGGCTCATGAGCTCCCTTTCTCTTGAACTTCAGCCTGCTCCAGTTCAATCCCACCCTTGACCTAAAACAGATACAGAACATGCCAAATCCACCAAAGCAAGCATGACCAATGGATCTCCGTTTACACCAAAGAACCACGTCTTGGTTCCATCACTGCCTGCTTTTCTTGCCAACAAGACTCCCAGGGATCATGTTGCAGCTTGGCATCAATGAAGATGATCCATGCGAACAGGAAAGGAGGCGAAATGACAAGGGAACAAAAAAAAGAAGATCAACTAACAGTTGTGGTGGAGAATGGTGTGGAGGTAGGAATCCTCATGGTAGTAGGCAGTACCTTTGGGGTCAACAGGAATGATCACGGGTGGAGAGATGTCTGGAAGTTCCTCCTCTCCTGGTTGAAAGCCCGTTGCTCGGAGGTGAGTGATGTCTAGAAGGTCTGGCATGTCTATAGAAACATCTGCAAGCAAAAGAGCCGAGGTGGCGCAGTGGTTAGAGTGCAGCACTGCAGGCTACTTCAGCTGACTGCTAGTTCGGCAGTTCAGCAGTTCAAATCTCACCGGCTCAGGATTGACTCAGCCTTCCATCCTTCCGAGGTGGGTAATATGGTTCACCGACAAAAGGGCGAACGACAAAACCGCGCCCGACTAAACCATGGTGACAAAACCGCGTGTTCTAAAGCACTCCGACGAATGAGCGCTGAATCGCGCCAACAACAGCACGGTGACAGAAGCGCGCTGTAAAACTAAACCTAAACCTAACCCTAAACCTAACCCTAAACCTAACCCTAAACCTAACCCTAANTCACAGTTCCACGCTGGAATTCACTGAGCTCCTGAGAGCAACCCATCCTTTCACCAATGTTTGTAAAAACAATCTGCATACCTAGATACTTGATTTTATACACCTGTGGCCATGGAAGTCATGGGAACACCTGATTCTGATTATTTGGATGGGTGAGCGAATACCTTTGGCAATATAGTGTATGTGCTAGTCATTCCCAACTCTAGGAGGCGGTGCTCATCTCCGTTTCAAAGCCAAAGCCGAAGATATCTCCGTGGTCATGTGGCCGGCATAACTAAATACCAAAGCCGCACAGAGCACTGTTACCTTCCCACCAAAGGTGGTCCCTATTTTTCTACTTGCATTTCTACATGCTTTCAAACTGCTAGGTTGGCAGAAGCTGGGACAAGTAACTGGAGCTCACTCCGTTACAGGGCGCTAGGGATTTGAATCACGGAACTGCCAACTTTTTCTGATCGACAACCTCAGCATTTTAGCCATTGAGCCACCGCGTCCCTAGTTTGGGTTTGGAGGAACAAAATAATGAAAGAGGCTGTTTTCATCATATCAAAGTTTCAAAGGAGCATTGGATTAGCAATGGCAAAACAAAATGCTGATCCCTTGGATTAATCAGCAAACCTCTTTGGTTGCAAAAATTAATAAAATAACATTTAAACCAACTATGAGAATGTGGAATAATCCAAGATAGGGAACAGCTCTCTCCAGAGTTTTAAGAGTTCTGCAAATATCTCAACATAGACCCAGGGCAGGTGGAAAGTTAAGGAGGAGAAAGGCACCGTTAAATGAAGAGCTCTCATGCAATTTGTAAAGCTTTTCTGTAAGTCGCAGCAAGTAAGCTCAGCCATTTTCAAACAAAAAATAAAACCAACATAAAGAAATGGGATACATACACTCCATGAAATGGTTCATCATGCCATCTGAAAGTCAAGAAAGTAAGTTAAGGGAGACTAAAGTATTTTGGAATGGCAGGAAAATGGAAATTGGCCGGTTCTGCATTTGGTATAAATACTAGAGCATCATCCTATAACTTAAAAGAGTGGTGTGGTGGCATAGAGGTGGAGCCCTCGCCTCACAATCAGGAGGCCATGAGTTCAATCCTAGGTAGAGGCAGATATTTCTCTCTCTGGGCACAATGAGAATATATCTGCTGGGGAAAAAAACCCTCTGCATTGGCAACAGGAATGGCATTCGACCCTTCATTCAGTTGCCCAGACTCCACCCCCCGCAAGGGATTATGAGGTCAGCAAAAGAAGGTGATCACTCTGTAACTTTAAAAAAATGTTCTTTGTGGTTCTACTCCTACCTGGTGTTTCTAGGCCTGCCATTAGCAAAGTCATTACCTATTCCACTTTGGAAGTGGTAAGAATTATAACTTAAACCAGCTGGATAAAATATTATACTGGGAAGCCCAAATAAAACACTTTGACCTTTAGATAGAATTGAATTTTTCCGGAGTCCAACTTTTTCTAGAATTGAATTTTTCCAGAGTCCACACCACTTTGGCAGAAACTTTTCTTCTGAGGAGTTAAAAGTAATGCCTATGCCTCTTTAGTATATATGCTTGAATTCCAATCCTGAAAATTGTGTTTGTAGACAATCCATGAATGGCACACCTTCCTTCCTTAGAGGGGTTGAGCTGCTTCCTTACATCAAACTCTCCTGCTAGAGTTTCCATGACTCTAACCCCCCTCCACTCCAGACAGGGGGTAGTGGTGGGTTTCAAAAAATTTTAGAACCTCTTCTGTAGGTGTGGGAGTGGCTTGCCGGTCATATGACCGAGTGGGAGTGGCTTGGCAGTCATGTGACTGGGTGGGCATGGCCA